TATTAAGTCCTGTTTGAGTGTTTTTCTGAGAAGTTTTGAATGCTTTTTTCTGAGAGATTTCTTGTAAGAGTGTCTGTTGTTGTACCTGTGTGCTATATCTCTGTTAGTACTATTATTAAGATTTCTATTAAGAACTTTTCCAATCATTATATGCTTTCTGAATAGTATTTTCCAGGTATTGTTTATCTCCCTGCATAGCATCTCTCTGTATATCATTACTGTTCATCTTCCTAGTTCAAATTATTACTGTTCCCCTTATTGAYCATTATTGTTCATCTTCCCAGTTCATATTATTAATGTTCCCCATATTGGTATTAAAGCCCTTGATCCCTAAATCTCTCATATCTCAGCTCCTGAACCCTTTATGTTTTATCTTTCATATTGACCATACGCCCTTCAACATGAGAACTTGTTTCTACCTTACTCAAATATTTGGTCACTAGAAGGTATCCTAGAACCTTTGGCTAGAACCCAAAGACTGTAGCTTCTTCGGAGATATCACTGGGCTAAAACCCCAGTCGAACAGCCTAGACACCTACTGGTTTTACGAAGGCTAGAACCCTTAAGCCAAGGTCGTAATTGCGTTGTAGGCCGAAGAGAGTGAAGGCCGTGAAAGTTGATTGACCATATTTGGTGAAGTAAAAGGATAAGATGAAGAGGTTATTTAGGACTGCTTCTAGTTCTCCCGAAGACTCTGGAGAAAGTAGTAACTGGACATCTTTAGCCAAATCTCTGTCTATAAAAAATATGGACATAATGTTACGATTCCTAGGCAGATCACTTGGAATGAAGTGAAGATGCCCGAAAATTGGTCACTCTCTAAAGTAGAGCCCCCTAGTCCTATCGAATCCACTGAATTAGCCTCCATATTTAGTGAGCAAGATGAGTCTATAGAACTCGGGTTTAAAAGAGCCTCGACATCCTCGCGGCCTTCGTATGCCTTATCAATGGACACACGGTCCAGGAGATCGGGAGAAGCCGATTTGATGGACACAAGATCCATGATATCGGTAGACCTGACACGACCTCCCACAGGAATTATTTACGCTACCTATGAAACGCCAATAACAAATAATTCACCATCGGA